TCAACAATCTGGACTAGTAACTTCTCATATAATAGTCAGTCCAAATAGCATGGTAAGCATCTAAATACCTCTCAAGTGTTCAATAGTTGCTAGTCATATGTATACTTTAGGGCAGGGTGCTAGTAGATCCTGCCTAGAGTAGTAAGGCTAGATTGGTAAGTTTGACTGGAGCAGTGCATAAGGCCAGTAATGACGCACTTCTACCAAGTACAGTTGCACTTGTACCTTTGAATAGACTGGTAAGTAAGGCCAGATTAATAGACATGCAACATTAGACACCGAACTAGTAACTTCAAACAGGATAATGAGTAAGACCAGAGTAGCAACTTTGAGCAACTTCCAATAGGGCATTATGTGATACTGGATTAGTGGCTTTGCAGAAACTAGTAAATGATGTCTAGAGTACTGACTTTGAACACTGTAGCAACCTAGAATAGGGCAGTAGGCAAGGCCGGAGTAGCAAAGGTGGTAAGTACTGTCTAGACGAGCAACTTTGATACCATCAGGTAACTATAGCTACTATACAGTGTTAGTAGTAGGCAATAATAAGAACTATAGAGTGCCTATCTTAGTTCGGCATACAAGACATTAGCATGTTAAGCAACTCCGGTCTAGAGGCAATAGTAGTACTCTAAAGTGCAGGTGGAGACAGTTATAGGCAACTAGACTCACTATAGAGCATAGATAATAACACTAGTAGGTAACTAGAACAACTATACAGCATAGGTACTATCAATAGTAGACAATAACATCGGCCTTAGAGCATACAGACCGGAACTGCATAGGCCAGAGGTGGCAGTGCAAACCCAGTGGCTATTGGAACCCTAGAGAGCAACCCTAACCCTGGAGTAGGGTGATGGCAGTAAGTAGAAATCCTATGCGTGGGAAGTGGCTGTGCTAATCAGAGGTAAGCGGAATCTGAAAAATACTCCCACGACTAGCATTTTAAGGGTGTCGCGCGTCGCAGCCAGAGCCCACCCCATAAAGAACGATTCATTCGTACCTCATTAATCGTAATGCGGTACGGACACGCGTCACCTACCCCCAACGAAGCCGAACGCAACAGGGCCGCGTGGGAAGAGGAGGAGTACCGGACACGCGCCGTCGCAGGAGGGTGGATGGGCATGGAAAGCTCGGCCGTAGAATGGGGATCACTGGAGGAGGAGGGGGACAACAACGAGGAACCCACCACCCCCATGCCAGGCCTTACCCTTTCGGACATGATCGCCGCCCTCGGACCTCGCGGGTCCCATACCCCACCTCCCCGTCCCCTCACCCCGACGCCACCAACGCCATCCCCGGATGCACGAGAGGTTCACTACTACGCGGACGACGAAGTGCACTACGAACTCGTCATCCTGGTCCAGGCCCCACCCCTGTATGACGACGACGAAGACATGGGCAACAACGCGGACTCGGAGGGAGAAGAAGCCTCCTCCAGTGACCACGAGGACGAGGACGAGGCCCCCCGCCTGGAGCTCCTACGCGCCTACAACCCGGTCGCCCAACTGTTCCACCTAGAAGGTGCCACCAGCCGCTACGCCCTCCGCGGCTACCTATCCGCCAACCACTTCATCAGGGTGTACGCGCTCGGTTGGCCAGTACGGTATTCACCCGAGAACATCAAGTTGAGGATCGCCGCAGCCCTCCGCTACGTGGCCCCAGGCATTCACCTCAGCCTCGAACTGCATGTCCTCAACGTCGTGGCGCAATGGTGCAATGCTCACTGCGAAGAGGTCATCGACGACCGCGTGATCGACGCGGGACACTGGCGACGCTTCCTCACCTACTACAGCCAGTACCGAAGGGCGGGTATCCCTCTACACGGCGAACCCGAGATGTCGCTTGAGGAGACGGTCCACGAAGTGATCGTCAATCTGATCGAACGCCTCCGCCAGATCAGCTACCGCCCTCGTGAAGACCCCGACCTCGACGCCAACGACATCTTCGGTAACTGAGGGTTGGGACAACCCTCATGGGAGAGGGAGCTGATGTTATGGACACCATGCGTACGCCTACTCTTTTCCTTTTCCTCTCATCATCTCCGTCATGGACTATGCCTCGCGCCCTCAGGGGCTACTGTAATACCACCTCCTATCCCCTGCCTCATGCTGCTGCGCAGCCTCACCTCGGACATGCACATGCCTCATGACTGCCTCGCTGTACCACACCCCCTCACACACCGTTACCATGACTCGTACTGACTCGCATGGACGTGTTGTATGTGCCAGGTTACCTCACTTCTCGCGCACCGTGGCCTCAAGGCCTTTGTTACGATTAATGAGGTACGAATGAATCGTTCTTTATGGGGTGGGCTCTGGCTGCAACGCGCGACACCCTTAAAATGCTAGTCGTGGGAGTATTTTTCAGATTCCGCTTACCTCTGATTAGCACAGCCACTTCCCACGCATAGGATTTCTACTTACTGCCATCACCCTACTCCAGGGTTAGGGTTGCTCTCTAGGGTTCCAATAGCCACTAGGTTTGCACTGCCACCTCTGGCCTATGCAGTTCCGGTCTGTATGCTCTAAGGCCAATGTTATTGCCTACTATTGATAGTACCTATGCTGTATAGTAGTTCTAGTTACCTATGTGTAGTTACCTACTAGTGTTATTATCTATGCTCTCTAGTAAGTGTAGTTGCCTACATCTGTCTCTACCCATATTCTATACTACTGCTGTTACCCCATGACCGGAGTTGCTTACTATGCTAATACCTTGTATGCTAGACTAAGATGGGCACTGTATAGCACTTATTATTGCCTACTACTAACACTGTATAGTAGCTATAGTTACCTGCTAGCATCAAAGTTGCTTGTCTAGAGAGTACTTACCACCTTTGCTACTCCGGCCTTGCCTACTGCCCTATTCTAGGTTGCTACAGTGTTCAAAGTTAGTACTCCAGGCATTATTTACCAGTTTCTCCAAAGCCACTAATCCAGTGCCACCTAAATCCCCATTGAAAGTTGCTACATTGTTCAAAGTCACTACTATGGTCTTACTTACTGTACTATTTGGGGTTGCCAGTCTGGCTGCAAGTTTGAAGCTACTAATCTGGCCTTATTTGCCGGTTTGTTCAAAGGTACTAGTTCAGCTTTACTTAGTAGGAGTGGGCTATTACTGGCCTTCCTTACTGCCCCATTCAAACCTACTAGTTCAGCCTTACTTACTACTCTAGGCAGGACCTACTAGCCAGACTGATCCACACTGCCCTAAACTACATATCACTCAAGATGCCAACCTAGTGACTAGTAACTATTGAACACTCAAGAGGCATTTAGATGCTTACTATGCTATTTCAACCGACTACTACATGAGAAGTTGCTAGTCTAGGTTGTTCAATCTTGTTAGGCCTGTAGTACTTACTACCTTGTTTAGTATTTTACTACAGCAGACTTAATAGTGATTATTGTTACCTCCTCCTCCTGCAGCTTATATTTTATGGTGGCTATAGTTGCCCACCTAGACAGCACTTACAATATGATTCAAAGACACTATTGTGGCCTTATTCAATGGCCAATTCAAAGGTGCTATGTTTACTTGTTGCCCTTCGCAGTTACTAATGTGGTCTTACTTACTACTACGTGCAATGTTACTGCGTTGAAAGTTACTAGTCCCACCGTACATACTATGTACTGGTCCAGGCACAGTTATTGATGTTTTAAAACCTACTAGTCTGGCCTCACCAGCTAAAAGCCACTGGTCTAGACAATGCTCATCATATGATTCAAAGTTGCGACTCCAGGCCTCTACTTACTGCACATTTGAAAGTTGTTACTAGTGCCCGTTCCGGCCTTACTTACTCCTGGGCTCAAAGCTGTTACTAGTGCTTGCTCCGGCCTTACTTACTGCACCTTTTAAAGATGTCTCTAGTCCCAGTAGTGAGTTTGAATAGCACAATAAGCATTTTCCACTCACTAAGTTTGAATCAGATAATAAGTACTGCTGGACTAGTATCTTTGAAAGCTGTAGTAACCAGCCCTTGTGAAGGGTGTAGTAAGTATAGTCTTGCTAGTAAGTTTTAATAGTGTTAAATGAGCCAGTAACTTTGAATCGACTAGTAGGAAGTGTAGGACTATCAACTTTGAACAGTGTAGTAACAAGTCTGAACTGTGTGCTGTTTGACTAGTAGGCTTCCATGCAATAGTAAACACTGCTAGACTCTTTCTTTCAAGGTGCTCCTAACCTTTGAATTCAGTTGTCTCTGTTATGTGCAAAAGTGAATGCCATGGTTAAGGGCTCTTGTGTATACAACAACTACTAAAGTAGTACTCTGTTCAAGGCTTAGCAGTGCATTTGGTGCTTGCTAGAGCATTGAAAGCTCCTAGTGGGTCAGTTACACCCAATGCTAGCTCACTGTGGCATATGGTGATATCTAATGTTGTGGGCCCAAGTATTGTTCACTCAGATGCAGTGACCTTAAACATGGTAACAACTTTGAACAAGGTGGTAATCAAGGTCAGACTAGTGACCTTGAACGTGGTAAAAACTTTCAACAGGATAGTAAGTAAACTTGGACTAGTCTGGGCGAACTTAATACCATGTTCAATGTTACTAGTCTGGCCTTCTTACTACCACGTTCAAAGTCACTAGTCCGGCCCTACTTACCCCCACGTTCAATGTGTCAATCCGGGCGAACTTACCACCACGTTCAAAGTTGTTACCTTGTTCAAGGTTACTAGTCTGGCCTCACTTACTACTGTGTTCAAAGTCATTACCCTGTTCAAAGTCACCATTTGAGGTTGAGGGCATGCTTACCGGTATAGCCGTGGCAAGAACTCCACGTACAATTCAGACTGGTCTTGTGCACAACATACACAAGTGTTTATTGAAGTAGGAGTAGTTAGAGGTGAAGAGCAACAACTTGTTTGGAAACGTAGGACAAGTGGTAAGGAGGAGTATGACGAGAGTGACAACTTATCTTCACAGAGGTTTATTCAGCCTTTGTAATATGCACAATTCCATTCCCACTATTCAGACTAGCAAATATCGCCGTAAATTCAGCTGATGTAAGTACGGCTGGGAGTCAGGAATCCTAGACAGATAGTCAGTAAAACAAGGGACTCTGATGTCACAATTCTCTTACCGTTCAAACGTTCTTCGCCAAAGTCCTGACTCTTGATCATCTCAGCGACCTCCAATCCGTCCTCTCGCCAGATATCGACCAACTTGACAATCTCATTGTTGCGCTGAACCCACCACCACCTATTCCAACGAAGCCCATCTTCAGGAAACTGATTGAGGAACTTCACGTTGATGACCCGGAGCGTGGGGATCCTCTACGCAAGAGCCTCGGCAAGTTCAATGCAGGCCGGGATGTGTCCACTTTCAAACCAATCTAAATTGAGAGCCACGCGGAGATAGAGAAGAGAAATATTGGAGAGGTTTTTGGGCACAGTGACCTGAACGAACCGGGTGTTAATTAAAGATGAGTACACATGAATAGCGAACACATACCAAGAGATTTGCAAAACTATCAGTGCTGGCCAGCATTGTGGCTACCTTCTCAGGCTGAAGGTTGTGTATCTCCAGAGACCGGATTCGACGCTGCTCCGCCCTTTCCAGGTAACAGTCAGTTGGACCGTCAATGTCTTGGGCCCAGATCATTTTGGAGAAGGAAACCACCACCAAAGAGGGGGTGTGTTCAAAGTTGAGTAGGTGGTAAGGAGGCAAATTCCCTTGATAATTCTCCTGAGTGGGGAAGTAATGGTAGCCCTCGAACTGGATGTGGTGGATGGTGGTAATACCGGAGGAATTATAGAAATCTGCAATGACTCCCTCCGCATCCTTATCGCAGCTGTATGTGAACTTCTGGAGATGGGGCCAAGGATGAACCGCCAGGACTTGTGTGTTATTTTGGCAATGAGCAGAGAGGTGGATGAGATTAGGACAGGGTGGAAGGAATGGGAAGAGCCATTCGTTGAGAGTGAGGTGATGGACAAATGAGAGAGACCGGAGGGAAGGAAGAGCAGCGATTTCATCCTCATCGATCTCCAGGTCGCCCTCGTCAGAGGTGTGAACGTCTCCAGTGAGCTCCAAACGGGAGAGCCTAGGAAGGTCGGCAAGAGTTCCTATGAAGCAATGTATGTACTTGAAACTCTGCAATGATATATCGTTGGGGATGCTCTTCTTTTTGAACGTGATAGATAAAAAGATAAGGGCGGAGAAGCGGGGCAGGAAAGGCTTGAATGTGTGCAATGCATCAGGTGTGACAGATGACAGAGCGAGCATGGTTAAAAGGGAAGGGGCATGTATCGAAGTGAGAATCTGGGGGAACACCGGGGCGTACTGAAAGAGGTCCAGGATGTGGAGCTCATGAAGTTGGGAGCATTCACGGAGCAGTTGCAACAGCCCAGCTGTGGCCAACTTTGACGAGTTCCTGGAAGTATGAAGAATCTTGATAGAGGCCGCTGGGACCTCCTTGAGACGAGGATGGGGAGTGAGAAGAAACTGGACCCGTTTTTCGAGTGCTTGGGGAGTCGGGTTCCGGATCCCAAGGTTGATGATTGAGAAAATGAGAGGGGTGGTAATAGAACACATCGTGGAGTGGACTAAAGCCATGGCAGCAAGATCAGAGGTATTGAGGTTTTCAATGATGTAAGAGACAACATCATGGTTGAGTTGCACCATGACTGGGATAGAGAGGAACAGCTATGAAGACGATGTGATGAAAGAAGGCTTTTGCTTTATTCGCAAATAGGCTGATGGGCGCCATAATCAGGGCAGCTTTGACTACTCCACCCTTAATCCATGGCTGTTTAATACTGAAAAAAATGGAAGCTGATGTCTCAAACCGTCAAAAAGAGATAAATATTAAGGAGATGTATTGTGTGCAAGATCATACCAAAGTGCTCCAACTCCCTAAGAGAAACTGTAGACTCCACCATTACATAAAACTCTAATAGAACTAAAATGGTCCTATACACAGAAACAAAGGCAGAGAGACAAGAACGGCACTGGGATGAGAATAGGAGGGTGCTTACCGGAATAGCCACGCAAGAACCTGGCGTACAACTCGAACTAGTTCCCTGCGTAACGTTTGAGGCAGTCCATCAGAGCGGAGAGCATACTATTATTTCAATCCACAGAGCCAGAGTAAAACATAGGAGGTGGAACCAAAAGCAAGTATAGCTGTTGAATGGCTGTAGTTGCTGAGGAAAAAACCATGGCAACTTGCAAGGCAGCTATCTTGCAACCACATCTCAAGCTGGATCCTGAAACCTTGGATCAATATTCCCACACTGTTTAATGCCAGAAGCAAGTGGCACACACAAAACATGACACAGAGAAGCAAATATTACATATAAAGCAAATACGAAGCAGGTAAAACATAAAAAGCCAGTCCCAGGGCACCCAAATGTCATCCCAACCTGACGCGGACCTGGGCTTGAGGCGACATGTACGATGAGAAAGTCCTTCCTAATCCAGCGGAACCTGGGCGATATAGACACCCACCAGCGCGCACAGGCATAGGTTCCCCCAGGGGACAAAACCACTGAGGCGCAATGGGATGAGTTAGTACAAGTCCAGATCTGTGCAAGGGCTAGATTCCCCTTTCCGCACTGTCGTTTGCAACTCGAAAGCACAGAAAGAGATCCACTAGTCCCCATAATACGTGATGTAGCACCTCCGGCAAGCACTGCTAATAACAAGCCTGCCGGGGAAAGCTTTTGCAATGGGATGGAGAGGGCCAGAGTGGTTCTAAAAACAGGGAGCACAATAGAGGGTAGATGGGGCGGGGTTGGTTCATGGAACGCCGGAGGATAAGTGAAGACTCATCAGGTTGCCTGCACTGGGAATGGCTCCCAGACCCGAATTTACCACCTAGAATGACTGCAAGAGAAAGAATGCAAAAACGATTGAGAAGAACAGGGAATTATGCACTGTGTGGACTGACAATTGACATGTTTGTCGTTCATTAGCGGTCCTAGGATGAAGGCTTAAGAGGAGCATTTTGGATTCAAAGGAGCTTCAGTTTAGGTACTGCAATTCGATACCTTCATCAGTTTTGTAATGATATGATGTGCAGGTGCAAGAGCATTCTCTACTATCCGTATTGTTAGGTATATATGCAGCTGATTTTGTGCAGATCTGGCATTGCAGAGTGTTTGTGAATATAATCTCTTTAGCCATGCTTGGACCAACCACAGGCTAGTAACTGCTGAAAATCAGATTGATTCTCTAAAGTGCTGCTTATATTTATGAACATAGTCCTTATAGTAGCTAGTGTGATTGTGAAAGAAGGGCTCATAAAAGCCTAGTGGTTGGAGTACAGTAAGATTTATGACATACAACCCATATGTTATAACTGATGGTATGAGCTCAGATGGTATATATTTCAAATCATTATAGATGTGTTGGATGTGCATTGAAGAGCCTAATCCAACAGTGTATAGCATGTGATATTGTAAGAAGCTTAAGGTGAATAGTTTGAGTAACACTGGTGTAACACTACATGCACAGTATATGGCTTGTTATAATCTTTTTTCTAATTCAATTGCTACATACATAGTTGCATCAGAATGCCTTTAAAACGGGCTACCAGATGGCATATATCATGGTATGTCTGGTGCATTTGATGTACCATATTGTAGCAACTATTACTAGGTTGTGTTGACTGAGCTACAGCTCAGGGCCTGGGAATATGCTTATGTAACATACACTGTTGGAAAGCCACTGCAATGATGTACTCAATGTAGTTTGAATCATAAGAAACAGAATCAAAATGAGCAATAGAGAGGCTTGTCAGCAAATGCAAATGTAGTTGCCTATTATGGTATGTGCCCAAGTCCCAGTAGCATATAATGTGTGCTCCTCTTCCTCTGGTCAATTCCCTAAAACACTGCTTATATTTGTGTACATTGTGCCACTGATGTGTCTAAAAACTGTGAAATAAGCACTCAGAACAGTGTAGTATTTGAGGTATACCAGTGGTTCCAACATATAAGTCATATGCTCAAACCCATGTTATAAGCTCAAACGCGGTCCGTTCGACATCATCTCAGCTATGACAGATGCATAATGAGATAGTTCATACCATGGTATACATGTCATATGACCATTAGCACTTATAAGTAGCAGTACAGGCTATATCACTGGTTGCACCAGCTGTATGTTCAGTGGCCTCTGGATCTGTCAGTTTTTATTCAAATTGTATACTATAGGATGTGCCAGAATTCCTTCTGCCTTGGGTATATATCTTCTGGCTCACGTGAAGTGGTGAGATTTCTGCAGTGTTCTGCAAGCTTGAGCGGTTTGAGCTAAAGAGATACTAAGATGGCTATATCTTGGTTATTTGTTGTCTGTTGGACACCAATTGTTGTTTATAAAAACATGGCATTTTATTTGCACATATCTGCCAGATTAAGCAGAGTTCCTTCAAGTGGTTCCCATGTTGCAAATCTGACCGACTCAGCTTGGGTGCAGACCAAAGTTGCTATATCTCAAACAAATTTTCTCTGTTTGGCACCAATATTGCTGCGTCTCAAAGAGGCCTTAAATGCGCATCTAACATGCCTAATTGCGCTGTCTAATGTTCCAGTATGCTTGTTTTGATTTCCCACCAACTTGGCCCGTGCGTAAATTGAAGTTGCTATATCTCAGGCAGTTCGTAGACAAACCTTACAAATTTTACTGCATCATAATTTACGTTTCAATGCGCGTCTATCGCGCCTAAGTGCGCTGTCTAATGTGCCAGTATGACTGTTTCAATTTCTGGCCAAGTTGACCAAGCGAGGTGTTATATACACTCTATATCAGTCATTTCGTATCCGATTTACACAAAATCAAATTCGTCGGATTTCGACAGTGTGGGTGTATCTATGTGCCCATTTGCGCATAGTTTCATCACCCTGTTGAACTTCTCGAAATCTGGGCTGAGTTGACCGAGGGAGATGTTGCACATGCTATATATCTGTCAGTTTTTGACCATTTTACATGAAACCAAATGCGCTCAAATTACATTGTTTGGATGTACTCACGTGCAAATTATCACCTAATTACGCTGTCTTCTTCCAGTTCTGGGGGTCAGCTTGAGAAGTGCGCTCTTACGGGCGCTTACGGGCGCTTAGACGGGTGTAGAGTTACAGGACATTATCTTTGCCATCTCTGCCTCCTACCACCATCTCCTCCTCTCCCAGACTACTCTATCTGCTGTCCAAGACTTTCTTTACTATTTTCAATGGCCAGCATGGGCAAGAAGCACTCAAGAGGGTATTCAGATAGTAGCTCACAAAGCTACAGTCCTGTACCTCAGGAGGTGAGCAGGGTGTTCTCTTCCCCTTGTTTTGATGCACCAGACTGAAGAAGCATGTTCAGCAAACTAGAGATGGGAAGAAACCTGTGAGCATTATGTACTATTCTATCTGCATTTATCTCAGAGCCTCCAAGAAGCTCCTCCCTTCCTATAATGTCAACCCACTGCCCCCTGAAGTACTTGATCCTGGCAAGATCAAGTATGATCCAGAGGCTGTTAAGGCAGGGTTTGAGAAGGGTGTTGCACGGGCTGAGGAGGTGTTGAAGTGGGCCCCTCGCTTCTACATCAACCAGTCATTGGACGAGCTTCCTACTGCTCGCCAGTTCAAACCCTCCGAGCTGCGTCAAATTGAAGAGGAGTGGAACGAGGCCAAGAACAAGAATTGCACTCCATTCACTACCATTATTGTCAACCGGAATGGCAAGATTCTCATAGTCTATCTAGGGCGCAGACTCTTGATTGTGAGTACTTAGCCGGATTGTAGACATTGTGCTTATATGCATGCAGAGAGGCTCCCCTAGTGTTGAGGCTAAGCCGATCAGTGCCATGTACACTGAACGGAACAATAAAACTGTCCAAAACCTTTGGAAGCGGTTGAAAAAGAATAACAAAACTGATTATCTCATCTCGGACGGCCTTGATTTGAGTTTTTTACAGCACACTTGGCATATTATCTCACTTTCTTTTAGCCAGACGAGCAATTAGATTTCCTCAAGAGCACACAGTTTCTAGCGTCTCATGTTCAGCCAAATGTGCACCAGAACGATCGCGTCATGACGAGCCTTGGACTGAACTAGATACTCATGTTGCACGCTACCCTGCCACCTTGGAGGAAGAGGATCCTATGCAGCACAAGGGCACCTCTCACTTGGTGCAGTGCTGGCATATGCAAGGGCATCGGAACCATGTGAGTTAGTATCTCTATTACTATTCAGATATACTTATCCTGGCTTGTAGGAGCTTTACCCTAGCAGTGATTTCTATCTCACACAAGAGCTTACCCCCAATTTCAAACGCTCAGCAATGCAGAGCAAATCGTGAAGGATTCAAGGCTCTTTTACGTTCTGTCCACTCCTATTGCTGCCATTTTCGCAGACTTTTCAAGGTTTTCTTTCCGGAGGAGTACAAGCAGTACGAGGCTGTCTTTGAAGCCGGTCGCTGGATTGCGAGGATCCTGCACCTTGGCTTGGTCGTGCTATTCTCTGGAAGATGCAAGTGGATGTACACCTGGATGGTGGAGATGGAGGACCTACACTCACCTGCCCGTTGGGTACTTTAACCAAGGCGAGATGGTGTTTCCGACACTGGAGGCTGTTTTTCAGTAAGTGGTTTCACTTTCAATCACACTGTTCTAACCAGATGCATGCAGATATAGGGCTGGTGACATATGATAGCCTGGGCCGGACGACTCCCTCACATGGTCAACCATTGGTCAAATTCTGGCCAAAACAATGGGCAAGATCTCTCTCTGGATGAAGACAATGTTCCCTTGAACAGGAGACCTGATTGGTTCAAATGGGGTAGAGTATCTGTTGTCTTCTTCACTAAAGAGACTGTACTCCAGATGCTTGAGGACAAGCCAAAGAACTTCTTTGTGGAACATCCTCACCACCACGAGTTACCAGATGTAGAGTGCCCATGTGGATATCTCCTCTGTGAGTTGATGAATATCAAGAAGAAAACAAGGCAGGCGGCAAAGGGAACTCTTATAAAGCATGTTTAGAATATATTGATGGGCTATATCACTTGACATACAGAGTGCTACATGGTGAACTACAAGGGATCACAGTGCTGAGCTTAAGGCCTGGGGTAGGAGGGATGAATGGGGAAGAAACGGTGTGAGTGTAGTGGCAGGGGACGTACCGGAGACGAAGGACGCCACGGTCTTGAACCGCGGCGCTGGGTAGCGAAACAACGCGCTGGGGACGTCCAGCGGGACGTCCTCGGTGTGTTGAGGGGGTCGTGGGGACAGTCGGACGGCGGGACGAGGAAGGCGGGGGCAAGCAGGTGGTGGCGGAGGAGAAGGCGCGAGGCGCCCGCGCTAGAACGGCCGTACGGCCGTCCGTCTTCAGCGCGGGCGTGGGTGCGGGCGTGGTCGAGGGCGTGGGCGGTGGGCACAGCGAGACGACAGGGTCCGCTCGACCCGTCTTGTACGCGGTCGAGGCGGGCGCGGATGGACGCGGGAGAGACGGGGCAGGGGACTTACCGGAGACGAAGGACGCCGCGGTCTTGAACCGCGGCACCGGGTAGCGAAACAACACGCTGGGGACGTCCAGTGGGACGTCCTCGGTGTGTTGAGGGTGTCGTGGGGACAGTCGGACGGCGGGACGAGGAAGGCGGGGGCAAGCAGGTGGTGGCGGAGGAGAAGGCGCGAGGCGCCCGCGCTAGAACGGCCGTACGGCCGTCCGTCTTCAGCGCGGGCGTGGGTGCGGGCGTGGTCGAGGGCGTGGGCGGTGGGCACAGCGAGACGACAGGGTCCGCTCGACCCGTCTTGTACGCGGTCGAGGCGGGCGCGGATGGACGCGGGAGAGACGGGGCAGGGGACGTACCGGAGACGAAGGACGCCGCGGTCTTGAACCGCGGCGCCGGGTAGCGAAACAACGCGCTGGGGACGTCCAGCGGGACGTCCTCGGTGTGTTGAGGGTGTCGTGGGGACAGTCGGACGGCAGGAGGAGGAAGGCGGGGGCAAGCAGGTGGTGGCGGAGGAGAAGGCGCGAGGCGCCCGCGCTAGAACGGCCGTACGGCCGTCCGCCTTCAGCGCGGGCGTGGGTGCGGGCGTGGTCGAGTGTGTGGGCGGTGGGCACAGCGAGACGAGGGGGCCCGCTCGACCCGTCTTGTACGCGGTCGAGGCGGGCGTGAGGTTTGAGAGACGGGAGACGGGGCAGTGGGTGGACGCGGGAGAGACGGGGCAGGGGACATACCGGGAAACGAAGGACGCCGCGGTCTTGAACCGCGGCGCCGGGTAGCGAAACAACGCGCTGGGGACGTCCAGCGGGACGTCCTCGGTGTGTTGAGGGTGTCGTGGGGACAGTCGGACGGCGGGACGAGGAAGGCGGGGGCAAGCAGGTGGTGGCGGAGGAGAAGGCGCGAGGCGCCCGCGCTAGAACGGCCGTACGGCCGTCCGTCTTCAGCGCGGGCGTGGGTGCGGGCGTGGTCGAGTGTGTGGGCGGTGGGCACAGCGAGACGAGGGGGCCCGCTCGACCCGTCTTGTACGCGGTCGAGGCGGGCGCGGATGGACGCGGGAGAGACGGGGCAGGGGACGTACCGGAGACGAAGGACGCCGCGGTCTTGAACCGCGGCGCCGGGTAGCGAAACAACGCGCTGGGGACGTCCAGCGGGACGTCCTCGGTGTGTTGAGGGTGTCGTGGGGACAGTCGGACGGCGGGACGAGGAAGGCGGGGGCAAGCAGGTGGTGGCGGAGGAGAAGGCGCGAGGCGCCCGCGCTAGAACGGCCGTACGGCCGTCCGTCTTCAGCGCGGGCGTGGGTGCGGGCGTGGTCGAGTGTGTGGGCGGTGGGCACAGCGAGACGAGGGGGCCCGCTCGACCCGTCTTGTACGCGGTCGAGGCGGGCGCGGATGGACGCGGGAGAGACGGGGCAGGGGACGTACCGGAGACGAAGGACGCCGCGGTCTTGAACCGCGGCGCCGGGTAGCGAAACAACGCGCTGGGGACGTCCAGCGGGACGTCCTCGGTGTGTTGAGGGTGTCGTGGGGACAGTCGGACGGCGGGACGAGGAAGGCGGGGGCAAGCAGGTGGTGGCGGAGGAGAAGGCGCGAGGCGCCCGCGCTAGAACGGCCGTACGGCCGTCCGTCTTCAGCGCGGGCGTAGGTGCGGGCGTGGTCGAGTGTGTGGGCGGTGGGCACAGCGAGACGAGGGGGCCCGCTCGACCCGTCTTGTACGCGGTCGAGGCGGGCGCGGATGGACGCGGGAGAGACGGGGCAGGGGACGTACCGGAGACGAAGGACGCCGCGGTCTTGAACCGCGGCGCCGGGTAGCGAAACAACGCGCTGGGGACGTCCAGCGGGACGTCCTCGGTGTGTTGAGGGTGTCGTGGGGACAGTCGGACGGCAGGAGGAGGAAGGCGGGGGCAAGCAGGTGGTGGCGGAGGAGAAGGCGCGAGGCGCCCGCGCTAGAACGGCCGTACGGCCGTCCGTCTTCAGCGCGGGCGTGGGTGCAGGCGAGGACGGAGGGCGACGAGCGATGCATGACTACCCCCAATTTCTCTTGGGCGCCGTGGGGACGTGTGGGATGGGTGGAGCGGAAGGAGGAGCAGGATGATGAGGAGGAAGAGGAGGTGGTAAAGGTGAGAACGAGGACTTCGGCCATTCCATCAAATGTGTGTGACCCGCTTTGCAAGCAGTCAATGTGGCATAAAGAGCTGAAAGTTCCGCTCTCGAACTCTCCTTGGGGTTGAGCAGGGACGCCTCTCACCCCCACGACCTTCGGGTCAAGGCACCTCACCTTCGGGTGAGTTCCCTGGGATTACCTTCGGGTTTCCCCTGTCTCCGGATCAACACTTTGACGTCTAGGCCAGACCTCTCATCGTGTATCCTACTGTCCTCCTACCTCGCATTTGTGGGAAGACTGGACGGGGGATGATGGAGCACAGCCCATGGTTTGTCTCCGTCCTTGGACGCTGCGAACCATGGAACCTGGCATCTGCGCCATGTTTTCTCTTTCGTTCTTCATATGTTTTCTCCTAGTGCAGCTGGATCTGGAAAGCCCCGTGAGTACCTAGATCTGTTTCATAATGGTCTTTGCCAGCTATTCACTGCCCTGTCTTATTCTTTCAGCCTGCGGTTTTTGTGACTGATATGGTGCACAGGCAACCAGGTGAGTCGTAACCCATTAATGAACCAACCCCACCTCATCCACCCTTTATTGCGCTCACTGTTTGGAGTACCACTCCGGCCCTCCCCCTCCCATGGTCAAAGGTTTTTACTAGTAGTTCTTGCCGGAGTTGTTTCAAAGGTCAGTTTATTTGTTTTGGCCTTAAGTTGCGCATTATGGGGGCTAGAGCATCTCTTTCTGTGCTGTCGAGTCGCGAACGACAGTGCGGAAAGGGTACTCTAGCCCTTGCGCAGATTCGGACTTGTACTAACTGATTTCTGTTTGCCTTGGAATTTTTCCCCGTCCGGGGAACCTATGCCGGAGTGCCCCAGTGGCGTCTATATCGAGCACCTCCTGCTGGATTAGGAAGGAGTTTCCCATCCGTTATTTCGCCTCAAGCTCGAGTAAGGGAAGGGATGGAAATGCTTTCAGGTGCCCGGGGCTGGTTGTTTTCTTTGTAACCGTGTTAAATGCAACGCTTGCTTCTCTGTGTTATTTTTTGCGTGCGCTGCTTGCTTCTGGCCTGCTTTTGATGCATTCAACGGCCTAATCAAATAATCTGGCAGAGTAGTAGACCTCCGGCCCGCTTTCCATCTCCGGCCCGCTTTTAAGCCTTTTTCGCCTTTTCCGATTTCCTTAGAGCACTCCGGGATGAATCTCCAGCTCTTCCTTCTTCATAAATGCACTCTATAACTTTATATATATATCTCTATAGTGTTTCAATATCATTCTGATTGATCAATTTACACTCAATTATTGTGTGGAGAGTAAACTGGTCAAGCAGGGGTGGGAAGCATCTTCCGGAGAAGATCCCGAGTATGCCTATTGTGGCATATCAAGCGCATCAGGCTCCCGCCTCAACGGTGCGGCAAGACCTAGCATTCTCACTGCACTCTCTACTCTTCTGCCACCATGCCTTCGAACAATCCTCAAGATACACCCACCCGCCAAACTAGCATTCCGGGCTGGACCACCCTGTCTACCCGCACGTCATCCAGTGCTTCCCACGGTCCTTGGTGTCCTCCAGCGGCGGAGGTATAGAAGGAAATCTGGCTACACAACAGGAGGGATCCTCTGCCATCAACAACCAACAACTTTCGGGCATACCTGTGACCAGAGGACGACCTCCCCATGGCCAAGAGTCTTCCGGGGACCTGTGTCGCGCAGACCCTCCCAACCGTATGTGATGTCTTTGCCTTTTTCCAAAAGAAATGTTTAGAACACTGCTAGTTTCCATAGAGAGCCACAAGTCAATTTCCCTCCGGCCCAAGCGTCCAGCACAATTTTGCGCACATCGTCCCTCCCCATATCTGCTGTCTTGCAACCTCCATCTTCCGGAACAACAACTCTTAGTCTGGGAAACACCTCAACACCTCAGATTCCCTACTCGTCATCCCAGAGACGAACAACATCACGCGAGGTGTCTATTCAGCCCTCACGGGCACCTTTGCAGATTTCTCGTTACGCATCGTTTCCACTGTCTGCCCAATCCGGTTTCTCGTCTATACAGTCCAACCAGCTTGTTCCTGCATTATCACAGGGGTCTGCTCACACTCCGGCTCAGACAAGGCGCTCCGCTAGAGTGCAAGCAATGGCAGAGACCGGTGAGTTGTATATATTAAAAGCAATGCATTACGCTCTGATTATTTACAACACAGCCCCATCATCCGGCGCAGCTAGTCCATCATTGGCTGGGACGTCTTCATCTACAGGCCAGTTGCCGAGAAAAAGCAAAAAGGGAAAGAGTAAGGCAAAGGCCAACAACAAGGGTGATGACGACGAGTCCGATCGTTTTACAACAATAATAGGCGAGGACGGGAAGGAGATTATACTAATCTCAGACGATGAATCCATAGACCGCGTGGCTGCAGTGGCGTTCAATGTGGCGGTAAGCTTTATTATCCTATGCCTTATATCTCTCACCAACATTTTTAACTAGTGTGACCGATGCGCCCGGAGAGGTTTCCACTGTCATTGGGCTGGCCAAGACGGCCGCCCTCCTGTCCGGTGTCAGCAGTGTATATGGGATAACTTTGCGTGGTGCACCGTGTTTTTTGTTTCACCTACTGGTGCAATATTCAGTGCGTAAATCCAGAATTTCAGTCTGGCCGATGTTTTTAACCATATGTGTGTAGTCCGCTCCCTGCTAGATTGCAACCACTATGGCTACCTCACCCCTGGAGGATTTTTTTACTCCCCCGTCCTCCACCACAACGCCTCCCCTGACAACGACGAGTCCTGGGGCCCTCAGTGGGAGTGGATCTTCCATTTCGAAGCTATAGTCGACCTTTTTTGCACCCACGTCGGACTGAACAATTTCCGGTTTCTGTCTAACCCACAAGATCGCTGTTCCCTCCCCCCACTTCTGATGCCCCTCTTCAAAATACTCTAAGCACTCGACACAACTGTCCGGAATTGGAGAGCCGCCATGACTGCACTCCATGGGAAGGATTTGACAACCTTCGACCAGATCGCTGCTACGTTGAATTCTCTGTGAGTGTCCATCGGGTCCATGGTCCCCCCTCCCATTGGCATGGGAGGCAACAATGTCACCGTTATCTCTTCAGCAGGGGCGGATCTGCCTGAGAACGCGCTAGAGGATTTGCATGAGCAGTTTAGGGTGGAGGCGATGGATTTATGCCAAGACGGATCACATACCTCTCCTTTACGCGAGGTCAATCATTCAATCCCACTGATTGTCGAATCCAAAATGTACCCCTGGAGACCGTCTAAGTGTCCAGAGGCTTTGAGCCTGCTTTGGGATGAGAAGGAGTGGGCATACCTGGAGTCGAGTCGTTAGGAAGTTGGCGTCAGGTGTGAACACCACGCCTATGCTAATGATCCTGAAGTCTCCGCGCGATGACGATGTCTTGCGATTGCGTACTGTGGTAGACAAATGAGCTCAGAATGCGAATACACATAAGCTGGCCGCACCTTTGCCCGATATCGACACCATTTTTCACAGAGTTGTTCGGCATCACTACCACAGCTTGATTGGTGGGAGTGACACGTACAAAAAGATTCGGGTTGTTCCCGAGCACATTCCGCGTACTCTGTTCACGATACCTGATGGCACAATGGTGAGCCAAGTTCTACAACAGGGCGACGTCAATGGTCCTATGACGTACCAGTCTCTCATGAATTACATATTGGCCGCGCTGTGCGCATATAGGCGTCTTCTTGGACATTTACCTGGATGGCATTGTGGAGGAGCATATGCATCACGTACGAGCAGTGCTGGATATACTGCTTCGTCGCTAAAAGTTCTATCTTGCAAACGATAAGATGTATTTCCTTGACGGGCGCCTGAATATCCTCCGCCACGTTATTGACAAAAACGGTATTGCCATGGATCCGCACAAGGTTGATTTCATGGTGAATTGGAAGTGCCCCCGTGGAGTCAGTGGAATCCGCGCTGCGGACCAGGATCTGCCGACGAACGGGGGGCTTGATGCAGCACGTGGTATGCATGTGACAGTGATGGCACGTGGCAGAGATATCACCGCGCATGGGGTGGGGCCGCGGGCGTCGCCGGTCTTGCTCTCCGTCCACGTCCTGGTCCTGGTCCTCGTTCTCCTCCCTGCCTAGGTTTCCATCGCAGCGATCTCTGCGATGGAGCCCGTCCCTTCTACCCCCGCCTGCTGACTTCACTCTACCCATTCCGCCTCACCGACTCCACCCCACCACACTCTACCACCCCCTAAGCCTTCACCCCACACTACGCCACTGCCCACAACTTCCTGCTGCGACCCCCACCGCGACCCCCGCCGCGACCCCCACCACAATGTCTGGTGCGCCCTGGACGGACCGCTGCTACGACGTGGGGCTTGATGCCCTAATCTGGTGCGCACGCGGTCCTCGTCTTCGTCCCCGACTGCAAAGTCCCGACAACCTCCATCAAGTCACCTCCAGCTCCACTTCCGCTCAACGTCACTTTCATCCTCCCCACCCTGTTCATGACACTCTTTCCTTCATTTTGTCTTCATGTAACTTTGTTCTGTCGGTAGGATTGTCTCAATTCAATAGTTGTTGTCTGTCTTCCCATTGTTTGATTCGCTCAAGCGTCGCTTGCTTTTGAACCGCGCTCCCTTTTGGTATATTTGCTCCTTGCCACATTGCGGCCCATGTGCCATTGTCCATCTTTAACTACGCTAGGTGGATAAATCAGGTGAAATCTGTATCATGACGATATAAAAACTGGAGACAAGCTCAAGTATGAGAAGAATGTGCTGAGTATTAGCAATAGTGGGTGGCTGAAGGCCAGAAACTTCAGAGTCACAGCACTTGTGTATATTAAACAATTTTGATTGGTGGCATTTTCTGTATATAGCACTGTCTTGCCTTCTGTATATATGTATAAATAGGCTTAATAGTGAATGATAGCACTCTAGATGGAGTGCTCTTGTGCACTAGTAAGCTTATTTATATGTAGCAGATACAATGTGAGTACTCCTTCTTTAGAATTGTTTTAATTAAGCTTTAAATCATTAAACCTCATTAATTGTTTCTGCCAGTAATGGCCCACTCCTACCAAGTAAAGAGCACCCCTCTCAGTCTAGTTGAATGAATAGGTGTAGACACCAACAAGCACACAGTGTATTAGGGAGTGAAGTGCTGGGCCCAGGTGGCAGTGCAAATCCAGCACTAGTAGAACCCTACAGGGGGACCCTAACCTAGAGCTAGGGTTGATGGCAGTAAGTAAAAATTGTAGTCCTATCAGTGGCAGTGCTAGTGAAGAGTAATAGAAGTCTAAAATTTCATTCCTACAGGTTGCACTGAGGGTGTTGCATGTCGCAGCCAGAGCCCACCCCATAAAAGAACGATGTGGAGTGAAGAAGAACCTCAATCAGAAGAGAGAGAGAGAGAGTGGCTCAGATCTGGGTGCCCCATACCGGTCTGGCTCTCAGAATAGGCGGATGAGTTGTCAACAACTGTACTCCTGCTACTGCCATTGTTACTCTCCATCCTCCATTTTGACCATGCTCTTCACCATCTGGTCTCCACTAGTCTCATTCCTATGCACTCTCATTCGTCAAGATTCCTGCATCACACCACCCCACCTCCTCTCTTTGTCAACATCTGTACACTGAGACAGTCTCCAGTGATCGCTGAAAGCGTTCATGAGCGTGTTGGCCAAGACCAGTGCGAGCGAGGCGGAGGAATATGGTGACTTGTTCCTCGACCGAGATATGTCAGGTGGGTTCAAGACTGGCATACAGCCACCACTCCTTCACTAATGCTCCAACGACTTGCTTGTGCATTCCGAGTGCA